GACATTGCATATTCGTGTAACATTCGTGCATACCATGTGACCCGACGGGACGTGATAAATAAAATATATATAACTAAATCTAACAAAAATAAATAATAAATTAAAGCCTAAAGCTTTACTTTTTTTATTAGCACTTATATATAAGATAACGGCTCTTGCGTATTCATGTAATATGTAACATATTTGTATATGATGTTTATTTATGTTTTACCGTATAGCCTGTCGTTTAACGACGGGTTCTAATACTAGTTATTAAAAAAAAAAAAAAAAATTATTTTGATTTTACCAATTATTATAAAACATAAAAAATGTTAGGCATTATTACCTTATTCATATGAAATTTTGACTACCAACTGACTGTACTATTAATTATATCCTTTATTTTGGGCTTTAAGCCCTTAAAGCCTAACAAATTCGTATAGTGATAGCATAACATAACCTTCTAATGTCGACCAATCAAAATTAGGTCTATATATGAGTAATATAAGTGTATCGCATGGCATAACATATATATAGTGTAAATTTATACTGTACACAGTATTTGTTAAAAATGTGAAACTTTATTTTGTAAAGTTGTTAATACAGTAGTGACAAAAGTTTAATTATTCAAAATTTACAAAATATATAAACATGGTTCATAAAGATATTTCAGCATAAATTAGTAATTGGATATCCATCTCTGACCAAAGCCACATCTTTGCTAAAAACTTTGATGTAGCAAACGGTAACCAATAAAAGCTAAGAATTTACAGAGATGTTGATATCAGGTATAATATAACGAGAGGTTTAATGACATCTCCGTAATTGTGACACCTAAAGCTTGTAACTAATAATCGAAAACATTCAAATTCTTTAGCTAATATAAGGTTGGTCTTCTTCACCTTTTGACTCGTTCGACTTGCCTCTTGTTTGTCTTGTGCTGTGCTCTTTTACGCTTTTACGAGCTTTTCAAGGAATTTTTTTAAAAAACTTTATCTATTTAAACATATCCTGGCACATTTTACCTTGTTTTGGTTTATTGTGCGAATTACCATTTTCCCACCATTTTTGTTTTTTTAAACCGCCAAATTGTCTTCAACTAACGCCTCATCGGGGGCGCACAAAGAAATCACCATGG